GGGCAGAGAGGAGATTGTCACCAGCAGCAATTCAGCATTTCCTGCGATATGATGGTCCCTATTTCCTGTGTCTCTCTGGGCATTCTGGGGATGCACTGGCAGACTGTATTTACTGAACCACTTGAATAATTTTAGGACAAAGTCAAACGAACTGTGCTATGATACAATGACTTGATTATAAGCCTGTTCCAATGAGCTGGAGGTCTTTTGTATTTAGTCCTAATGGAGATCAATCTCTTCTCATAGTGTGTGACTAGTGTGCCCGTGGACAGGTAGGCAATTCTCCTAGTCGAGAAAAATGAACCACATAGGACTTTAAGAACTAGCTGGAAATTACCCCATTAAATATCCTGCTGCCGGTGTTATTCTTTTACATACAATTAATATAAAGTAGAGCAGACTACAAAGTGATTTAGTATTTTAAAAATGGTATGTGTAAAGATACTTACCAATATTTAGGGTGCCCTGAAGCAGTAAGGAGATGTGGTGCCTGAGATTATCAGCCTGCTCTAGGACTCAGACGTCCCAACTTCATGGCTAAGGTCAGTGCACCAGCTGACCCTGACAAGCTGGTCCAGCCCTTCTGATGTCTCTGGAAATGCTTTGGTCTCCCAAAGGGAATGCCTGCGGGGCTGTTTCCAGCACTATCAGTCTCTATTGGCATGACGAGGAAAACAAAATAAGCCCAACCGGTTGGACTCAGTTTGTTCCTGTGGTAGGAGCGCAGTTAGCAGCGCTGCGGGCAGGGCGGCCAGACAGCAGCTGCCTCATCCCTCTTCCATTCCCTAGAACCACCACAGAAGCAAGACCTTTCCCTCTTTGCAGCTCGGTACCAAACCCTCCCCGTCAGCACGGCCTCGCCGAGCGCCACTCCCGGCCGGCGTGCCCAGCACTGAGCTTGATCTGCCAACCTGCCCGTCCCTGAGCGCGGGCTGAGCCAGCCCTGCCTGCGCCTGGAGCAGGAAGAAACACCTGGAACCTAAGATGAGACCCAGACCTTCAGTGTTACGTGTGAGTGCCCGTGTTCAGCAAGGGAACGGCAGCCACAGGTGACAGTACCTCTGCAGAAGCTGTTGCATTCTCTTTTTAAAATCTCATGAAGTATTCCTGTTCTGGTACTTTCTCTTCTCCTCACATCCCCTCTAGAGCTTGCCTACAGATGTGATTAAGTATCTTTTTCAGCTTCACTCTCCATCTTCTTTTTGTTTAAACTCACTAGGTTCCACAGAGAAGCAGGACTGCTCTCCTAGCTGTTTGCCACTGAAGGTTTAATGTGCCAATTCAAAGTATTGTCACTGGCCAAGTATTTTAGTGCAGATCATCATCATTCTTTGAATTATTGAATTCTTTAGTGATGAGGAAAGACCCTATTTTAAAATACTTACAGACAAACAAACAAGGAGCCCGTCAGTGTGCTGTTTTGTACCTACAAGCTCCTCTGGCCAGATGATTACTGAGTGAAAGCTGAAACACACTAACATCAGATAAACAAAATCAATGTAAAGTAGGGTTAGTCTGAGCTGAATGTTGTCCAATATGCTTTTTCTTCTCTCAGGAACTGTAATTATTCTCTTGTGTGGAATATAGGAGTAATTCCCCCATTTTGCAGTTCTCCACGGACCTTTGTCAAGTCTTGACCTTCCTCGAGCACCAAGTCAGCTCTTCCCCAGATTCCCTGCCCTGTGGTGGTGACTTGTGCAGGTGGTGCAGAGCAGAAGGCAGTAAAAGCCAAAAAGTAAAAGGTCATGAAGGCTGCATCAGAGCAAGCCTTTTGACTTAGAAGTGCTTTATTTCTCAGGTGCAGTTCCTCAGTCTTGCACATTATGTTTCCAACTTTTGCTTATTTTCCAGAGTTTATACTTCAGTTATTCTCATTTTACATTTTGCTTTTGAAGGATAAGTATGACCAGTATAAATGAGGCCAAATTTTCTCCAACAAAGTGAAATGTAGGTGAATTCTAAATGTGCTGCGTTAGGTTGGAGTATGTAACACATAGGATGTTATTTCATAGCTTCTATTTCTTCACTTTTAAAATTTAAATTTAGTTTTATATTAATGTAGTTCAGCAGAGCCTGCTGTTCTCTGTTCTGGATGATAAATTATCATCAATACACCTTTCCTAAAGTTCATTTTAATAACAAAACAATTGTTATTAGAAGTTATCAACCACACAAGGCTTATTTACTATAATAAACTCTACTGCAAAATTTGCATTTAAAGCAGGAGACACCCCACTGTTACACTGGAGACTGGCTGGTATCAGACAATGCTTTTATAGTTAGTAATTCATTCTAGTTGAGTTTGCTGATACAGCACAAACTGCTTATTTCCTTCATCCATTATTTTTCTAGAAAGTGATACATCCATACGGAACTCAGCATTTAGTCTGAGTCCAGATGGAAGTCATTGCATGGGAAATATGAGCATTCAGTGTCCTCTAAGCCATGGAAGAATGAAAAAATACACTTTTCCAGGTTTGGGGTTTTTTTTCTCTTTTCACCAGAAAGATACATAGAGAATGTCACTGTTCCATAAGAGGGAGTAAAATGAAACTATGCTACAATCTCAAGCATTAAGTTCCTCTTCAGTAAACGTTCTGAACACATTAAACACAAAATTAGAAAAAATGTAACTAACCCTTTCCTTTCCAACAACCTCCTCAACAATATGAAGATCAAGGGAAAAATAAAGTACAACCGGTTTTCTGTGGTTTAGCTCTTCATCTGTAGGTGGTTTGCTTTCTGAAGACTTAAAAGATCTGGTTTCTTTCATTGGAAAAATGGATGCTAATGCTTTGTGCCCACCATTTGTGCTCTAGCTGCTGAAACTGCTGGCAGCAAGTCCTGGAGGTGAAGTGCTGAAGGTGCTTTGTCTGGTGGATCTGACTGTCCCACATTGTGCACACAAAGCCCCACCCACTGCTTTTCTGGGGTTAAAGTCCTCTAGAATGTTCCCGTTCCATGTTTTAAGCATTTCTGATTAGGTTTTATTAAAATAGCACATCTAGGATGATCACACTAGCATGTCTAATTATGGTGTAATTATCAACTCTACTGTTAATTAAAATGTCACAAAGAAATCTATGTTAAAAAAATATTAAAAATTAATAGCCTGAAAAAAACTAATAAGAGCAGAAAGAAAGGTCTTTATTTTTTGATAAAACAAGTGCTTTAAATTTATGAATGCCCTGTAAGTTGTGTGCATCTAAATGTAAAATATTTAGACTCTCTAATGAAGTAATTATATCTTTGGATAAAGGAACTCAGAAAATATCATTTTTATGCCAATTGTGAGCAAATTAAGAACCTTGCTGGTGATTCCTGCCTTCCTCTGCACTCTGTGCCTCCTCCCACAAGTGTGTTCAGGAGATGCCTCCCTCCTTGTGCCCTGGCAGGATGCTCTGAACATCACCTGGTCTAGGCTCCCCTCAGGTAAAAGGTCCAGGTCTTCTCCTTAACATTTAGTAATTCTAGACTGCAAGCAGTGCTTTAGGGACACATGGATGTGTCATGTATTCACACAGCAGGGGCTTGGCTGGGTTGCTGACTGTTTTCCTGTCTTACCTCAGCCAGTACTAGTGACTGACCATTGATTTCAAATCTGTCTTGATGATCAGAAGCACTAATCTCTTAAGAGCTGGAGTTTTGGATCTGTATTCTGACTTTGTTCTCTGGCATTCAGTGAGCACAGCTGTGCCACTGTGCTCAGAGCTACTTTCAGTTGGGACTAATTTACACAAAAGGATACACACAAGCCTGCTGTTGAGTCTCCCTGTGCACCTTCTTCTCTGTCTAGTCTAACCTAAATAATGTTAACTTCCTGCTTTTTAAGTTTAAGTCCTCATTTTCTTTCACCATATTTGCAATTATTAGAAAGGTGCAAACAAAGCAGTGAATTTCCCAAGGCACTATAACTATTTAACTTCCAAATTAGCATCACCTTCTTCTGTGGACATTCACTTTTCCAGAAAGTTAACAATTTTTATCTTTCTCAGTGGGTATCAATCTGAATACATAATTGTGAACACAACACATTTTAAAAGCATTCTGCTTAAATTTATGCTCATGACATTTTGAAAGAGGCCCAAAAGCCAGATTGCACGATGAAAGTGAAAAAAGAAATGAAATTGTGCTTTATTTCTGCCTCACTTTCACACATTCAGTCTGAAACTGGGCACAAAGGGAAAATAACCAACAAATACACTGTACAGTTAATTTTAATAGGTATAGCACCAACACATAATGTGCAAAAATATGTAATTAAATGAGGCCAATAAGAACCAAAACAATCATAATGAAATGTATGTTTTCTACAGCAGAAAGACCCATACAGGGGGTGCTGTCCTGAATCTTGTTGGTTTGGATCTTGACAGAACTGCCTCAGATAAGAAGCAAAAATAATTCCATCACATGGCTGCTTTACTGAAATGACTGCCTTCCTTTTGTTTGGAACTATTATCAGATTCAAAGAAGCAAATAATAACAGACTATGACTCTTTCAAGCCTGTTGTTTTGTTATCTGAAGCTAATTTATATCTTCCTGGGATAATGAAATGCCAGATAAGTATATTTGGCTCAGAGAGCTTAACTTACCACCTCTAGCTGGTTACAGGCATACCAGATAATCAACATGGATCTGCATTAGTCCGCACCCCAAGGCTTGCCCAGGACTCTGAAGGTAGAACAGAGAGGAAGGACCAGTGGCGCAGTTACTGTTAAAAGAAGCAAACTCAAAGTCAAGCAAATAAAAACTATTTTCTGTCTTAAAAGAAAAAAATAAAGCCTTCTGGGAAGAAGAGGCACCACCTGCACAGTGCTGGCCCTCAGCCTGTGGATTGGCATGGCTGTATTTCAGAGCTGAAGTCCAGCTCAGTACTTTTACTGTGCTGTTCTCCCCTTCTCTTCTGTTCCCTCCCACAGGCAGGAGGGGCTGAAGCAGCCCAGCCCATTCCGGCAAAGTGAACTTGCCTTATCATTTAAGCTGGAGCAGCTCTGCTTACCTGTGAAGTGTTCCACTGCTGCAACCAAGGTATTTGGAAACACTGAAAACCAAAGGGCAATCATGGGGAGCAATAATTACAGACACTATAAAGTTAACAGACTCTACAGCATGAGGAAAGTATGTGATTTAGTTATTTACAATAACCAAGTATTTTTATTGCAAACCAAGAAGAAGGTACTAAAAATGAAGACTATGGTTTCTATGAAAGCAAGATCATCTTCATTTTCTTGAGGAGAGGAAGGGCAGGAGCAGAGGAGCGATGGGAAGAAAACAGCATAGAGTTCTGAAATACCTTGAATTGCCCATATCAGCAGTAAAAATACCAGTCTAAGGAATAATGGGAAGAAAGTGCAAAATTTCACACTTTGGTTTGCCAGCCTGACAAATTCAGAATATTTCACTGAGGAAAGCTGGGAAAATGGCCCAAATGTTTTGATATATTTAACCTGTTTAAAAACCATTCAATTAAACTTCATATTAATGGTATTTGTTTCTGAATATCACACACAGAAAATAAAATAAGAATGAACAGGGAACAGCTTTCCATGGATGAGACTTCCATATTTATTGTTACTCCATGTGCATAGAAAATGGCAGTGAAGTTCCTCATGAAATAGGCAGGGAATGGGGGAGGTGTAGATATACTGGACTGGACTTTGTGCTTCAAAATTACACTATAATTTTTAAAAGTTGTTTGGTTTTTTTCCTGTTTAAAATTTATAACATTTTCTTGGAAATTTTTTTTTTTGTGCATGATGTTTCCAATTTGTTTTAAAATGACACACTGCATTACAAATGAATGGCACTTTAAACCCACGTGGCATTTCCATATTTACACCAACGAAATAAATTTACAAGACGTAATAGCATACAATCTTGACATTTAGTAATAGCAATAAAACAAGGGCATCCATTTTATTTTTTTCTGTACAAACTATCAGAACAAGACTTTTATTCACATAAAAAAAAATAAATCAGCTTTAATTTGCTCTGACCTACACACTTTCCAAATTCATTTTACTCAATTCTCAAACCTTTCATCACATCGCCCACACCCTCACCAGACTACAGGAGCTACAAGTAATTATACCTAACATCTAAACAGAGCAAAAAAACCATCCCTTCCAGTTTTTCTTTCTGACAATCCCTCACTCAAAAAAAAAATAATTAAAATAAAATAAAAACTAAAAAAAATCTTCCTTGTTCCTTCTCTCGTTGCACTTTCACGTTTCATAACCAACACAACAAAGGAGGCCGTTCTGTTTCTTCTCAAGCAAGGATGAGAAATGCACTGGTGTTTCTTCTCTCTGATGCTACACCCAGGAGTCGGGGGAGCCCGGGTACTGTTCTGCTCTATAAGAAGATCGTCTGGTGGAATAAAAGTCTACATAATTCGTGGTTGACTTCAGTCCATACTGAGTCGTGTAATCGGAAGCAGCAGGGAAGTGAACTCGGTCATCGAAATACGGGTCTTCGTAGCTGTGCGGGGACTGCAGGTACAACCTGTACGCCTCGTAGTTTTTCCTGTTGGTATCTTCTTGGCTGTAGTACAATTGCTGATGCTGTTGAAAACATGATAGAAAAATAAGCTTGCAAGCACAGCTAGCAGAGAAAACACTTTCAAACAGATGACACGGAATGTCTCCCTAAAAAGGTGGGTGCAGCTCTAACAACGATAGTAACGTAGGCTTCAAACCTCCACGAAATGTACCTAATTTTTAAAGGCAACTAGATGGAGGGAAAACCTCTAACTGCCTGCGTGTCTCCTCCTGCATTCACTGGGAAGCCAATATCTCTCCAGAAGTAGCACTTTTAGAGCATAAGGAGAAAGTACAGAACCTGACCACACCTACCAAAAAAAAAAAAGGCAAGTCAGAAAAGGGGTCTCAGATCCCACCATAAGATGAACACACTAAAACATGTGCCTATAAACAACCCCACAAAGGTAAGAGAAGTGCATAAGCAATTGTTACTCTAGTACCCTTTTTGCCCAGTAACACATTAAGTCTGCTACAGATGACTGTTAAAAGAGCACTCCCACACAACAAAGTCCACTCAAAGTCCCTGGAGCTCCAGGGACTCCAGATGCTGAGCCTTGCTACCAGTGCCACTGCCAAACAGAGCTTTGGAGTCACCTGCAGTCGCCTGTTCTGTTCTCTTGCTGGTGAAGAATAGGAGCTGATGTAAATTGGTGAAGGTTTGCTGGAACCTGAGAGAAAACAGTTTATGGCAGAAACGTCAGTCTTTGTTCCTTCATCTCTAAGTCTGCTGGCTTCTATTTTACCTAGAAGAAATTACGTAGCACCCAAACAAAGAAGTCTGCAGACTTTAGTATCTACTAATAATATATGATACTATATAACAACACCATATGGGCAAATTTTGTCCCTCAGCAGTAGTTAAACTGAAACCAACAGGCTGTTGTGTTTTTTTGTTTGTTTTACAGACTAATAACCCTTAAAGCAAGGAATTTCCTTCTCATTATTCACTGACATCTCTTGTTTTGAGACTTGTGTCAAATAGTAAGAAGGAAAGGGGTATCAGAGAAAAGATGAAAACTTGGCATAATTAAATTATATAATAATATTAGATTAATATACAACTGAACTTTATTGTTTATAATATTTTATATCTATACCTCTATATAGCATGTGCAGAATAAAACTATTTTCTGTAATAAGATTTCAAATAAAAATTCCAAACAACTCTCAGCACCCAATACATAAACAGATCTCTTATTCTGGCAATATGTGCAATTTTAAATAAAACAGCAGAGACAGATGAAAAACCTGCTCTGTTACAAATGCAAGGAATATACACAATAAGCACAGAAAACAACACCAAGCAGCAACAAAGCCTGCTAGTGCAACGTCCATATTATGACTGTGTAACTCCCCATGCAAGGAATATTTACATACTCCAGTTAAAAGCTCAGCTAACTGGGATCTTACCAGTATATATGTCTTTGTGTGCAATGACCTCCCCTTGGCTATTGTAATACTGCATGGAAGGCTGAGTCCTCTCGTACTCGGAGCGGGGCTCCCTGATCCCTAGTAAAGCCGGGGACGAGGACGTGCTGCCAACTGATGGAAACAGAAGGATTATCAGTACAGCCAACAAAAGCCCTTCCCATACCTAATCTTCTCTTTATCCTCCCCTCATTCATTCCTTCCTCAAGGATTAAGACGTGAGATGTGGGAAATGGACAAAACTGAAGAACCCCAGTGACAAAAGCTACCAACAACGTGCCACGGGCCTTTAATGTTATACCTGCTGGTGAGTCACTGCTCTATGATGCTGACTGAAATAGGTTTTCATTTATGTATGACAACTGTTTTGCATTTAGAAGATTATGCTCCTGCTAATGTTTATGATTTTATGTAAGTTACACTTAAATAGAATCTTTAAGTCCATCTTATGACATGGGACAGGAAACTTTGCAGCCTGCCTGGCTGAAGCGCTCCATGCACACACTGCTACCCCTGCTCTTTGCTTAGCATGCAGGAGGGCACCCTGGACATCCTGTGCTGCACCTGCTGTGAGATCACTCCAACACATTGATCACTCTGTGTTCTTTCTGTGACCAGCCCAGTCTCTACTGTGGCTGTAAAAAGTTTGTCCTCCTAAACCTTCCCTGTTTTACAGACCCGTCAGGTTCTGTTGCCTTAGAAAGACTCCAGTAACATACTTGAAAATGATTTCTAGAAATTTTGCTTCAAAATATAAATCAATTATCTCTTCTTCTGTTAGCTGTGTCCATGACATCACATCTCACCATTCTGTGTTATTATGGATGGTTTAATTACTGTTACTATCCTGCCATACTCTTAGCTAAGAAAGCTAAATTCGGGGGTGTAATTAAAATTCTGACCCGGGTCAACACGGTATGTACGTGTTAATAATTGAGAGACTGAAACAGGGACAACTGCCACAGGCCAAGTGTGACTGCTCTGCCATGCACCTGCTGTGCCAGTCCTGCTGTGCACGTGCTCTCTGCACCAAACTTCCACCTTGTTCATGCTTCGGAACAGAATAGCAGACACTTCTTATTAGGATTTGGTGCTAAAGAGTGCTTCTTTGAAGTACAATGCCTTCTGAATCTTATGTCAGAGCTGCCCATCTTACTTCCTACTGGTAGTTCAAAGAACTGGAGTAACACAGTGGTCCTGCTGGCCTAGCCTGGGAGAGACAGAGATCAGGATCTGAGTGTAACTACTGGAATATCCTTTTACTCTGTGGTAGAATCTGGTCAGTTTCCTGAGCTTATCTTGAGAAGATATTTTTGGCTCTGGCAGTAGACACACCTTCAACAGCCTGTGAATTCAAGGTGGTGTTTTGGTGCCAGTACCTGCAATTGGCAAGTAGGTGTTAAAGTAAAAATTGCCTGCACTGTTATGTGGTTGTTTGTGAATTGCAAAAATAGTGAGGACATTCTTTGGAATCCTGGAGGGCTGGGAGAAAACCAGATGTGGAGCACATTATGATCAGAATGACACAATCCTCTGGAATACAGTCTGCTCTTGTGTGGCAGTAGACAAGGGGATCAGTCCTGCGTGTTGCAATGTGGTGGCTGACAGAACTCTGGGCACAAAAGATGGGCCATGCACCTTTCTTTCCCTTCTCAAGACATTACAGGTGTACTTCTCCTAGGAAAACAAATCCCTGGTGCAGTCCTTGTTTTTAAAGTCAACTGTGTCATGAAGGAGTGTGTGAGGGTTGTTACTTTTAGGTAAAGAATTAAAGAAGAGTATTGTAGGGACTGGTGAATTATTTTAGCAGTGATGGTAGATAGGTACTTCTCTGTATTAAGAAAACTTGATTGATGTAAAAATAGAAGAGTAAACTGGATAAAATAAAATGCCAAATGAAGACAACATACAAGTAAGTTTTGTATCACCCCCTCATGAAGATCTAAATCCTAGCATGAAGGTGTTAAAGGGACAAAGGCAATAAATAAATAAATTAATCAGAAAAGTAAAGTTTTTCTTACTGTCTTGCTCATCCTAATGGGACATTACCTAACTGGGAATGAAAACAGGTTCCTTGCTATTGGTCTGTTGTTTTCTATGCCATCAAGTGCCCGTGTTCTGTGAGGTGACATCTAAAATGCCAAGTTTTTCAGGTTAGGAGCATCTTTCTAGAGGAAAGCAGTTGGTATTAAAATCCAGGTGTTTACTCTGAGGATTTTCCTCAGCACCAAGTCTAACCTGGTCCCATGAACCAAATGCCCACTAGTAGCTGGAGCAAGTTAGTGGTCTGGAAGGACACCACCTGATCTAGTTTCCTCCAAAATAAAAATGAGTTACACATTCTGTGACTGCAGTTTGTTTTGCATTGAGGAGTAAGTGGGGAGATTTTCTTCAAAGTGCTCCTTATCCAAACTAAAATACTAATGCAGGGACATCCACAAATCCTGTGGCATCCCAGAGCAGGGACCAAGTGACCTCTGTGCTTTAGACAGAACCAGCAGCAAACTGAGAGGCTGAGTCTGAACAATGAGGTACCAGGTACCCCTTCAGTACATCTCTTCACGTCTCTGGACCAACCTGACTGTATGACAGGTGACATCTGCTGATTTGCTGTTGATAGAGAAGGGTGTGATTTGAATCTCTCTCGCTCTAGTGTCGATACTGGTGTAATAAAATGACTTTGATTCCATCCATCCTGTGGAGTAGCACAAAAAAAACCAAAAAAACCACCAAAATAAGTCACTACTCATTAAATTAAGAGTTTTTGTAGAACAATTTTCCAGTGCAGGCTCATTTTGTAATGTACCTTCTTATAAATGCTACGGAGATCTCGGTACTGCCATAACGTGTTCAGCACCTGGGCAGCTGCCTTCACAACTTTCAGTGACGACCTAAGGGAGCAAAAAATATTGCATTATTGGAAAGGCACTTAATTCCACTTAAAAAGAACAATGTTCCTGAACTACACCATAGCCTACACCTTGCTGCTGTGAAGCAAGTCAGGTCATCTCTCCAGGCCTCACTAATGCTTGCCTGTGTTAGGGCAGCGTGGGCACAGCTGCCTCATCACAAGGCTGCTGCAGACCCTGACCAAGCATGACAACCATTCCTGTCTCCAGCCTAGATGTTTTCTCATCAGGTCACCCACATGAGGAACACAGACAGAAGGGTTGAAAGAGCTACTTGGTAAAACCATGCTGACTGGTCCTAATGACCCTCTTATCCTTGATATGCCCAGAGACAGCACCAAGGATAAATTGCTCCCTCACTTTCCACAGTTCTAGCCACCCTGGTCCTCTCCTTACCCTTTCTGGAGACTGGAGTGACATTTGCTTTCCTCCAGTCCTTAGGCACCTCTCCTGTTGTCCTGGACTGTGACTTTCAGAAGCTCTAAATATTCTATTAATCTTGTAGGTGTTTAAGAGGGGACAATTTTTTAAACCCCTTTTAACCTGAGCAGGGCCCACTCATGAGATCACTTCAAGCAACTGTAGAAGCCCCCACAAGCTTTAGGCAGAGACTGGTGGTACCAACTGCCTGCCCAGTGGGGCTCAGATCCTGCCAGATCAGGACTCAAAAAGCAGATTCTCAAAAAAAAACCCATTTCCTGCCTTCTTAGGCATGTTAAACGGAACGAACAGTTCAGGCACGACCTTGGAGCCGACTTGCCTGTCACCCCTTCCTTTCGTGATGTTCACCAGCTTCTCGATGCCGCCGGTGTCCGCCAGGGCCTTGGCGTTCTCCATGTTCTTGCTGGTGACCTCGTGCAGGGCGTCCTCCCGCCCCCGCCAGCCCCCCGCCCCCGCCGCCGGCCAGCCGGTTCACCAGGTCCCGCATCGCATGCTTCCCTGGAAGGCAGGGGCAGGCGCTGAGGCCCCGGGGCTGGGAGCAGCACCGGGACCCACAGCCTAGAGAGACTACAGACCCCTTTTTGAGCTGGGGTTTTGCTTTTCCTTTCGCCTTACACATGTGAAAAGTTGCGTTTCTACGTTAAAACGGGAACGTTCGCAGTCAGAAATGATTTGGAGGCAGCGGAATCGCCCAAGGAAAAACACGGCGCTGCTGGTTGTGATGGGAGGAGCGGTGCACATTCCCAGGCTTCTTTTATGGGATGTTAAAGAAATCCTCAGAGTAACCTGGGATTTGTTTTCTTTCAGACACGCTGTTCAGCTCATTTGTTACTCATAGGAGCTCAGCTCTTTCAGATTCCAGTTACCAACTGATGCACAGGAATCATCTCAGCGCAGACAAAGGAAATTAACTAAAGCTACAGTAATTTTTTGTGTGTGTTCAGGCTGCGCTGTTAATTGAATGATTAATTGATTTTATTGAAGACATGTACATAACAGTGAATAATGAACAAGGTTTACACAAAGCCATTAGCTGTCTATCTGCATAACGTGCCTGAGGGAAGAAGCCATCCAGAAAGGAATTCGGCAAATAAAAGGAACAACTTTTCAACAACTAACACCAACAACTGCAGCAGCAGTTCCCTGTCACTGCCCATCTCCTGGCAAGCTCATCAACACGTTTGCATATACTCATTTGTATAGTTGTTTTCCTCAGAGTTTAGACCATGTAAACCCATTATTCCTGCCTGATCTGACGCCAGTGAAGTTGCATAAAACAGATGACTAGCATGGGGCAGTTTATGACTCACTTTGTGTCTCAAAATATTTAGTACAAAGATTAGTTTCTGAGTGCATCTGGAAAGCCAGTAGTAATTCCCTCAGTTCAGGCATTGACAGGGAGAAGGAACAGGTGGAGGTGCATTCCTGGACTGAACAGTTCTGCCAGGAAGGGAAAAAAAATCCCGAGAATATCAGCTGAGCATGACTTGCACATGGCCCATGCTACAGAGCAGAACTTCCTTTTTGCTAATTTGCTACGTGTGTAACTGCCACACTGCAAGAAAACATCTTTTGAACATCCAAGATGGAGAAGCTTCAGAAGTTCATAATAAAAATCTCTTCAGCTGCATTTATCTTTTTGAGATGCTCTTACTTGTATCAATAGTTATTATATACTTATCCCACTAGTCCACAGCACAGAAAATGCTTCTGAAACAAAAATGACACTTTTTAAGATCGTGGCACGTTAGTAGGGTTCATTCAGGGCACAGCAGCCTGAAGCTGAGCACTGTGCAAGATGGCCAAGGGAAAACTGAAATGTCAATAATCCTCTGAAAAGGTATTGCTGTCAAAAAGATTAATTTCTGTGACACAACTGCCATGATCCAGTAAAATCATGGATCCTGCTTCCATTGGTGGAATCTCATCCTGGTGTTTTCCCAGCACCAGGTCTGACATGTTGGTAACTGTGCTCTCTTCTACAGTCTGTACTTACCAATAAGCTCCTTATTCCGAACATCTAACGCCATGTTCCTTAAGGCAGTGGCCACAGATGAAACAACTCTGTCATTATCCATCCTCAGCAGCTCCACCAGGATGGGAAGTCCTTTTTCTTTTCTTACAGCAGCTCGAATGTACGCTGCGAACTAGAGCAACACCCCAGTTACCCACAGATCTGCCCCAGCATCCTGACTGAAATAACCTCTCTGACTGCAGCTCTGAAGTTTGTTAGGGGACATTTTTCACAGAAAACATGATGTGCTAAATGCCTGTCTTTTCTGTTGTTATAAGGGCTCAGCTATTTGTTGTTTTTCACTCATTCCTCTTACAAACCAGTGCTTAAAAAAGTGGTCTAGTAGGCAACATATCTTAACAGATGACAAATTATTGAAATGGGAACAGTTTTGCTTTGAGTTTGTTCTTTTTTAAAGACCAATTTTATAATGGTCATAAAATGACAAAGCTACAAGCAAAGGAAGCAATTAACTTTTTTTTTAATCTCACCATGACAAATATATAACATTTACCAATGTTCTCACGTGGTGTTTGTAACACTACATGCAGGGGCCACAAGCAAGAATGCATGGAAACAGGTAACACAAATCGTAAAGCAAATACAAACAATTTATTTGAGCTCTGACAGGATGTTCCCACCAGAACTCACAGCTAGGAGATAATAGAGGACTATTTTGACCTAATGTGCTCTAGAAGAAAGCTTCTTCTGTTTATTAAAATAGACAGTGCCAATTTCAAGGACAGTTTCCATACTGCTCTTCCTGTCCAGCAGTTTGGTCACTGCTTTTCACTGTGGAAGTAACTCCTGCAGCACATGAGCACTAATGAGACACACTCATTACATGTTCCTCCCAAACACATTCCAGTATTTTATATATATATAAAAAAAGCTAAATTGCAACAATAGGAGGATGAGCAGGAAGTCACATACCTTCCAGTTACCCGCAGAGAGATTCTGGAGAGATCCTGCAGAGCCCTCTAGAGTAGCTGGATTGGAGCTTTCTGCTAGAAGTGTGAGGTATGGCTTCACCACAGATGGGTGCCACAGCATTTCCACCCCTTTGGGAGACTTGGAGAATCCTGGTATAGGGCCAACTCCATCCCACTGAGAAGTGAACGTATATTTGTAACAACACAAAACCTTCAGATTCTCATTCAACACATTAAAGCTTTTCTTCAAGCTGGATACTCTCCCCCCTCATTAGCTAAATGCATTTGTGATACAAGGAAAATGGCAAACCTGATCCTCCTGTGAAGTTTTTTTTTTCTTCTTCTTTTTTTTCCCCCAGCAGCTGGGCTCTGAGTCTTTGCTAGGTGATTCTTTTCCTAACAAGTCATCCAATTCATTGATTCCCAGCAGACGTGCCTGAGGTACCTCCAGTTCCAAACGGTATGAAAGGTTTCTCAAGGTGCACACGCAGTTTTCCACTGTCTGCAGCCAAAGGAGAGAGATGTCATGTAATTGGTTACTTCCTTACACGGTGATAAAGGAAACCAAAGTAATTAAGTGAAAAGGCATTTGGAGCACAAGCACTACATTGTAATTCTGCGCCTTGTGCATCGCTTGGTCTGTTTCTCTGGGAAAACTGCAATCTCCTCATATCCTCAAATATGAAAATATAACAGTAATCTCAACTATAGTGGCTTGTTTTTTAGTATTCTGAAAATGAAAAGCACAAGAGCTTATTTTATTAAAGAATGAATACTTCAGGACTGCTGAAAATGAAAAGCACAGAACGAGTTACTCTGCATTATGCAACAGAATTTGATTGTGCGTCAACCATCTGGGGCTGGGAGAGGAACGCAGCTGAGCACAGCACAGCGCCAAGTTATGCTCCACAGACCTCAGAAGATCCTGTCAGACACATTGCAGCACCTACAGTCCCCCAGCTGGAGAGTGCACACACCTTGCTGTCATAGTCTGATGTGTTCACACAGGTGTGGATCACGTAGAGCAGGGAATCCACCAGCCCCTCGCAAGACCTCATCTGCTTCCGGGCTTCCTCCCCGGCCGAGCTGAGGTTCCTGAAGGTTGAAACGGTACAGGAACGCAGTGAGCTCACAGTCAGACACACGTGCAATCATTTTATTACACAGCTTGCACAAGTTCTTTACACAGCTGGTGGATGACTGGGAAGTTACAAACCAACACACCATTTTGTGCAGCAACCAGTTCTCACGGAAGATAAATACGATTCAAAGCTGCATGTCAGGATAGCACAGGCTCTTCAACAGAAACAGCCACAGGGAGAACCCCCTTCCCACAGACTTTTCCCTTCCAATCCCTCTCTGTTGTACAAGCCCAAATCTATGGTTTGTGTGTGCTGTAGAACAGATTGCCCCACTTGTCTGTGTCAGAAATACCCTTTGTTGCCTCTGTTTGAAATCGGATCCATTCAGTGATCTGCTTTGTGGTGCAGCACCGTGACCATCGTGAATGTTAAATTAGGGTGCAGAGAAAGGAGAAGGCTGCACTGTGCTCTAGAATAAGCAGACAAATACTTGTCTTGGAGGCAAAGCCTGCAGCTCACACTGAGCAGGTGCACCCTGAACACAGTGCTGCTGCCAGAGACATCTCTGTGCCTGCCCATGGAGATGCTTTTCTCTGCACACCATGGCTGCACAGCCATGCTTGCACATCCCCGAGTTCAAAAGCAGTGCAGAGCTCAGCATCTTCAAAAACAACCCAATAGACAACAACTAAAACGTAGTTCATGAAACTATTTGGAAGTTCAGAAGTATTACCAGCAACAAAGGCAATTCCAGTCCTGTTTGAACACTATTGCTTTGCTCTGCTGTTTAAGGGAACACAATTTGAAATCTAAGATCATTAACAAACATACAAATGAAAAAAATAGCTCATATACCACCCCTGGCTCTCAAAATCTCTTCAGATATTTTACTATTGCTTTTTATTATTCTGAATCCTTTTTTTTCTTCTTACTGCTGAGAAATCCACAAAGGGAATACTCAAGCACTCCTTTACTGATATGTGTGCATATACAAACATGATTATTTAAATGTATACAACAAGAATCACCACATGCACTTGCACTTTTTTTCCCTAAATAATATTCCTAAGCCCTATACACAAGTATTGCAGTAATTAATAGGGGAAAAGTGCAATGACTGCAATTTATAAAAACAAAACCAAAATGTAACCACCAGCCATTACAGTTAGCATCTCTTAGTAACTAACTTAGTACTTTTCATACATATCTAATATGGAAAAAAACTCCACAAATGCAGAAGCTGCCTAAGTGATAGAACTTTCCATCATTTCTAGAATGCATCAACTCTTTTGTCTTGCAAATTACAGTATAAAAAGAACCTGTTGGATAACATGATTACTATAAAAGAGTCTTGTAGAAGAGCAAGTTACCTCAGGCACCCTGTGGTATTGCGTAGAACTAGAGATGTCTGAAATTTGATTTTGTGATCATCATCAAAGGAAGAGCTGTTCCATCCAGAGTGTGGCACGATCACAGTGCTTGTCAGGGTTGATAGAGCATCTCTAATGATTGTCATCTTGACTGCGTCGCAGGAAGACAAGTTCCAGAGAACCCCTTAAGAGAAGATTTCCATGGCAGTAAAGTCAGAAAAGCTTTGGCAAACAAAGATAAAGCAACACTAGCAACTTAAAAACCATCACTTTAAACAGGAGAAAGACGATTTACCTGTGCAAACCCAAAAGAAATAGAATTAGTCTGCAATATAACCTTAACATTCCAACATGACTGGTCAATAAATGTCAGCAAATTAGAAGATGCTGTGACTGGAGCAGGTCTGCCATGAAAAGATCCCTGTTTACAAAGCAGCCACCCCCCTGGCTCCTGCCTGAGCTCTGACTGGAGAATTGGAATGCAGGAGGGTCAGCAGAACAGCCCTAACAGATCACCAGCCGGTCTCCCACGATACCAAGAAGGAAAATATGCATATCAGAGAACAAATGCTCTTCTTAAGGAAAAACACTCAGCTGAAACACACACTGATAGAAAGGAGATGTTTATTTCTTTCTGTCCTGAAGTTCAGCTCATTCTGCCACCTGAGAGGAGAGGGGATCCCCCACTGCACCCAAGTACAGGGGAATATTCCCTACAGGCACACAAACACCTGCAAAACACCTTTCCAGCTTTCTGAAACATATGTGCCTCGAGCTCACTCTATCTCTCTAATGCTAATATCTTTCTTAGATATCTAAAAGCCAACCCTGACGACCTGTAATGGGAAGAAAATCTGTCTTTTTTTATAAGCCAGGCAGCACACCACATCAGTGTAGGCTGGTATCAACATGTCACAGCGGACACTTCTGTTCCTCAAGAGGTCACTAATGGATTCGCCAGATTCCTATTCAAAACAAAAAATGGAAGTAATTTAGTCATTCATTGTTAACTCCAGTTTTACTGATGTCTGCCATCGACCTGCAGGCAGTGTCTCTGCTGGAATGGAGGCAAGTACCAGTGACACTGCTTCCCAAGCGTGCCTGGCAGGAACACCTCCCCCCAGGAGGGAAGGAAAGGTGTGGAGATACACATGAACAGAAAAACACCTCCAAGAAAGCAGCTGCTGATAACCTCCTTCCAGTAGCTTCATATGGACATTACTACCATGGGGGGCCATCAGCAGTAACCTCCTGGCTCCTGAAGGGCACATGGAGGAGGTGACTGCTCCACTCAGAGAAACGGGTCATGCTTTGTACTTCAAACTGTGCTGCAGTCTTGGGTGGAAGGGCAGCTAAAACCAGGCAGCTACATCTCAGCAATAAAGGTGCTCCTTAGGGATGCCTGTGTGAGAGTGCACCCTGATTCCTGGCAGCACGGTCACCCGGCACCTCCCTGGTTCAGGCTGCACTCCAAGATGGGAAGGCAATTTATCAGAAGAAATAAGGCATTTCAACCAACTCTGCACGCTATTAAAAAAAAGGCATGACCTCCAAAGGCTGAGTCTTCAACAAGGTTTGGTAAAAGGAAGAAACAGACCATTATCCTGATTTATATGAAATCTGGAGATTAAAGTTATAAACTACTGTTTGAAAAGGAACATGGAAGAGACTTGGCAACATTCCCAAGAGAGAGATTGTTTACACTGGAAATATCTACAACTTTGCAGGCAGAAGTTAACAGTTAAAAGAGAGGTCATAAGAATACAAGAGCAGAAATTAAGTGAGAAGAACCCAAATCTATGGATGTCATGGCTGAAAGATCATCAGTGTTTTGCAAACATAAGGTCTTTTGAAAACATTTCGAAAAAAATGACAAAGAAGGTAGGTTGGCAGGAGGGTGGTGGCCATGAAAGAGTTTTCAGTAGAGGTCTCAAGTGTGATGTGACATGCTTCTAGATCAGTCAGAACCTGGAAAAGCAATACCCAAAAAGGAGGAATGCAAGATGAAAAACAGGGAAATAGATGGCTTTGGTTTGTTGATTTTATTTTCAATGATAAACACAGGAAGAATGGCCTGCACTGGCACTGCTGATCTCTTGCACTGTGAGCCTAGGATAGCAGATACTATTGGATGCAGAGCTGGACATACAAGAGCTAATGTAAAAATGCTACAGAAACTTCCTTCCTGGAAACCACAGAAGGAAGTCTGGAGTATTTTACATTCACCTATTAGCCAAATGAAACTGGTTTCAATCTTTTATCCTTCTGTAGTTCTGTCCCTTCAGAGTCTTCTTACATAACATTCTGATACAAAAGTATGAGCACTGACACAAATTATCAGCAGGATTGTATATGCAAGTAATATGCTAAACACAGCATTTAATAATCTTTTCCATCATGAAGCACAGCTTGAAGTTCATCTAAACTCTCATCAAGTACTCATCTTACTCTAAATATTTTTCTCACATACAGTATTTTCAGAATTGTAAAGCAGTAGAGCAGTGTAGACTCAGCAAAAAACCTTAAACAGTATTTCCACAACAGGCCAATGAAATTGCTACAATAAACTATTTGCTTTTCAGTTTTACTAGATCTCGAACATTCAGTTTCCTCAGAAATAAATTCTGGGGGACAAGACAGTAAATGCCACAAGAGAACAGAAACTAAAGTTTATGAGGGAGTAGGATTTTTTAATGAGCCACACCAAGCCTAGGGCAGCTGGAGCAGCCGGGTGCTGAGGAAATGCCCAGGCAGCAGGGGATGCCTGGCTGCACCAGCGGGCACTGCGGGGCAGGGGACATGGGCTGTGCCTCCAGAGCAGCACCTCACTCAGATGCTTGCTGAGGAACTGGAAGAGAACAGCCAGCAGCAGCTTCATCTCCTAGGTGGGCACAAGGGCATGGCCTGGGGAGACCAGCTGAGGAGCTCCCTGAGCTCCATCCCTCCAAGGAGCCTGTTCAGCTTTCACCAATACTAACCTGACCATGAGGATGAGCCTGGGAGTGCTGGACAAGGAAGTCACTGGAGTTCCACTGAGTAACTATGTCAGAACTTGTCCAGAAGCTGGACTCTCAAAGAGGTAGCTTGATTTAATTAATGATTTATTATCCCTATATTCAATTCTGTGAAGGCAAAGGCTCTCACCAGGACAATCCGTTTTTTGAATTTGGGAGAAGTCTTCAGCTATTTATTTTACAAATCAGAGATGTGTATTACCCAGCTCTTTAATCTTCATGTTAAAAATGAGAATACCATCTGATTATTTGTAGAGTGCTTATTTTAAGATAATTGGGACCAGATTTAGTGCTTATTAGAAATAAACCTTGAAGGCAAAGGCAGTTATAATTTGGGAAGTTTCTATTCAGTCAAGGAAATGGTGGTAGGAGCTGGTGCAGAGCTGTGTTAAGGTAAGAGCCTCCTGGGATTACAGCACAATTTTGGATGTCATTTAAACAACAGCACCTTTGTACTCCCCACTGTTGTGGCAATACACTTCCGTATTCAATTGCCACAGAATCATCTGCCAAAGTCCCAAGAGACAGTTTGAAGCCCTCAATAGAAGATGAATTAAAGAAAAAGTTTTCTATGTGTATTAGCTACAAGTTCCATCATTCTGGAAGAATGGTGAAGATCCCATTCACAAGTAACTGTGCAGCAAGATGAGTGCTCAGGCCATGGACCTTCCTAAGCAGATCTCTCTTGTCCCTAGTGTCTCTGGGTTTGGAAGGAGAGGAACTTCTGCTTGCTGCTCATGTTACACTTTAGTTTGTGTATAATTCAACTGATTGCTTCAGCTGGCTTCCTGTTTATTGCTTAGTCTATAAAAGTACTGTAAAATACAGCAGAAAATTCCCAAATCACAATTAGTGCTTGACATTGCCCAGAGGTGAGGAAAACCTGAGAAGGTTAAAGTGCAAAAGTTATCAGCATTGCCAAGCATGGATAACTCTTAAAGAAGGAAGGAAAACAGGAGTGACAGCACTAGGAAAATAAGTGAATAAATAAAAAACAGTAAGCTTTGCAGGAGAGTTTTAAATGCCATATGAAAAAACTTGTGTAGTTTTTGTAGAAAAGTGTAGAAAAGTGGATCTTCTCTTTTCTCTTTTTATCAGGGATTGCCTACCCTATTTTTGCCTTAAGTTCTGGCCCTGCCATGAGTTCCTGCAAAGAATTCCACTGTCACTGCTCACATCAGGTAGTGTTAACCAAGGGGGCAGCAGGTTTATTAAGAGCAGCAGCTGAGGTCAACTGCTGAACACAGACCATCATGTGCCACCCCTGCAGGTTGACACACTGATCCCCAAGCACTCTGGATTCTAGAGTGGAGCTGAGGTAAAGACAGTAACGTGCAAGTTGTGTTAGGAAACTCTGCCCCTTTCACAGAGTGCTTAGCTTGCAACATTCTGTGGGACTTGCAGCTATTTCTGTACCTTCCCAAAAGCTACCTCAGGCTGCCTGGAACTGCAGAGCCCTGTGTCCTTTTCCCACAAAGCCACAGCACCCAGTGCCAACTGCTGCAGGAAGGCAGCCCCCCCCCCAGGGTGACACTGCCTGCACCTGTGCTGACAGAGAGCAGCACTGCCCACCTGAGGCAGTGCCAAGGTGAAGTCAGAAGCCATGAAGGGACCATCAACAAACACATCTATCCCTTTCAGGATGGAGCTTTAAGATGCAGCTGAGCTAGTGATTAACTGGTGCTGGAATCTCTGTTTAGTGTAGAGGTTTTTTAAACAGTGACTAAATACCTTCTGTAATTAATAAATTTACTTTGGTTTTGACTGTGGAACCATCCCTAGCATCATTAAAGCACAAGCAATTTAGATGCCTAAAACATTAATTTGCAGAGTAGATAAGGCAGCTAATGTGTAATTCTAGTTTTAAGTATTCTATTTACAGAACATCTGAAGGAAAAACCTGTATCCTTCTAGATAGAACATGAAAGCTGCATGTTGTCTTCGTGCTTGTTTATGTAGAAAATACTTAGGAAAAATAGCCTGCATATGAACTTAAATGTTTTGGATACATTCTGTACAGAGTCTTTTCTCTACTTAATATCTTTGCTAAACAAGGAAATAACTTGGAAAGGCTCCCAGTATGTCACCTCTGTCACTTCTAACTTGAGTACTGTGCAGCTTTGCTGAGTAAGTAAGTAGTTAAGCTATGAAGCTTAACAAAATCAAACAAGGAAGCTGCTAAACCTTGAAAGAAGGACTCCCTAAAGAAAGTTACAACTGCTTTTTTCTACCCTCTCATATTTTTCAATTGCCTAAAACATTCATGGACAAATCATTCCTACATTAAGTAGAGATAGCAGATGTGTGCAGTGCCCAGCAAATCCACTTACTTTGATGGAAATTGAATACCTTTTTGTGTTAGAACATCAAATAATGTATTACTTCTGCACGTTCTGTCTGCACTAAGTGCAAAGGAGGTCCATGGGCTACAAGCTAAACCTGCTGCCTCAGAGTCAAGAGATGAGGAGTGTGCAGTCACTTGCTGTGACTCCCCTAGAAGGCTGAGCACTGAGATGCTTCTGTAATTTGCATACTTTTAAATTTATGTCTGTACTTCAACATGTTACATAGCTTGGGTCCATCCTATGAATTCTGCAAGAGCTGATTTAAAACTATTGTCAGCAGATGATAAAAAAAAAGCCTGTAATAAATCTAATGTTAGAAGTCAATAAAGAAATACCTCTCCAAGACCTAGATGTATGTAGGATAATCATACTGGGGAAAATTTACCCTAAGTGAAGCTTTAGTACAACTGCCTCAAGCTTCACTTCTCCCCCCAGATCTGTACTTCTGCGCTCATACTTTAACTGCCAGTAATCAAACTGATTTTGTATCCACAAAAAATTCCAATGCATAAACAAAAACCCAGTCGATATAGTAATTTCCAGTGACTTAGCAGTTATTCCAGTCTTGTCCACTTCAGAAAAATAACTTGTCTTATAGTTCTCTGCTGGTTTTATTCAAAACTCACCTGTCACAAGCTCTTTTACTTCGGCATCGACAGATTTCCTCAGCAACCGTAACAGGGCAGGTATCCCCCCAACATTCTTCATTGCTATTTTGTTTTCATCAGTTGACTTGCCATAAACAAGGTTTCTCAGTGCACCACAAGCATTCTTCTGAACTTCCAGGACTCTGTGATCCAAGAGATCAACAAGGTGCTTGATTCCTCCAAGCCTACATACCTAGAAAACAGAATGTTGGGAAAATCAGCACACATGGATTTCACTCTACAGATTTAAAAGGCTTTTATTTTTATAAAAACAGTACATTTCATTCTATTTCAAGAAGAAGTATTGTTGGTAAACTTTAACAACTCGATTGTTACACTATACTGAAAATTCCTCTGAACCACTCACACCCTGCTGAAAATGCTGATGGACATTTTCAGGGATCTGCTGCGTTCAGAGAAGAATTGTTACTCCTGAAGTCTTGTCTCCCAGGGATGCAGTTTTTGAAGCAATTTCCTAAAGCTCAGAATATCCTTTTAGGAAATAAGATTTAAATGCCAACTTTTACACTTATCTACACACACAAACCAATATGAATTAGCATAAATTCAGTTGTTGGCATATCTGAAGTTCTTTTAAAAAGGAAGCTCTACTCCACATTCCATGACTTTCAGCTTGAAGTTATTCACCTGGCAAGATTTCTGTAGCTAGCAAAGGAGTATTACACCTTAGAGATAATTTATTTGATACAGACTACAATGCAAACGTGCTGCAGGATGCTATAAAAAATTAGAGTCCTTCTTTTTCAAGGCAAATAATTCTTAATTCTGTTACTAAATAATGAAGCAACAAATAACTATTCCTACTTTTCAGTTAAATCTCCCTTTTGTATGTCAACACAGCTCATTAAACACTACATCTACACTACCCATCCATAATACAGATACAAGTCATGAACAACAAAACAAATTTATCTTTTTTCAATGTGTACTCAAAACTTGGTAAGATACAGTTTTTGTGTATATAGTTCAAAATAAAATTGGGACTAGAAATCTGTTCTTAAGTTTTGTATTTTGCTGAGTCATGAACTATTTTCAAGCATGGCAACTGTTACTAGTTTGAATGGGCATTTCAATGCCTGAATTAAAAATCAGATTCTTCTAAAATGATACAGTCACGAAATAATGTATCAGTGCTGTGTGTATTTAAAGATAGTGCTCATTACATGGAAGTGTATTTATTAATTCTGTGTAGTTTGATAGCTAATTTGAATGGCAGAGATCCACTCCCACAACCAGGTTTTAGCAAGGCAAGCTTTCTAGGTAATTTTGTGAAGCTTTCAATGCCCTTAACAGTCTAGCAAATTCATCTGGTTTTTACCAGAACAATAAAATAATACAATTACATATTAAAGAAAACACAAAAGCAGTCCTCAAATAAAACCTTGCTGGATTTTGGGTTGTTTTCTTACAAGTGTTGCATCAACATTTTATTAACATAAATAATATTTATCCTGAACATAACACAGTACAACACATACCACATGAACGAAAAAGCAAACTCCTTCAGATCAATAGCTCATAGCTGCTCTGCAGAAACAGCAGATACTCAAATGCAAACTGTTTTTTAGAAATTGCAACTATAATCTAAACTTTCACTCAGATGTGCCCTTCCTCCACCTTATTTTGACATAAATACTATCCTCTATGTATTTCTAGGGTTAGATTTCTTGCCTTTGCTTGACAACTCACTCATTGCCTATGATGCTTAAAATACCTTGATCAACCCCACTGGAAAGCTTTCCAGAATTCTTGTTTCTCTTAATCTCCATTCATCAAAAGTTTACTCAAAAACAAGCTCTGCTAAACATACGTTACAGTACTGCTAGATTACACAACTTCAATGCAAAATATTTTCATATCATTTCCATGCAGCCTCCTCTGAGAGGCCTGAATATTTCAATATTATCATACATCTGATACCAACAGAAACATGGCAGCATCCAAAGTCCTGTGTTATGCTGGGGAAAAAGCAAACAAAAAGAGAGGCGAGAGCTCTGCTTTTCCTTTCAGAGCTTCCCCAGGGACAGAAGTGCCCAGGCACAGTTACCTCTGTCTTCACTTTGTTGTCCCCGTAGCAGAGGTGCTGCAGGTAGGCAGCTGCGTTCGCCTGCACCGAGGGGAACTGGTGCTGCAGCATGTGGATCACTTCAGGCAGCTCTGGATCTCGCCAAGCAAACTCCCTTCATGGATGGACACATTCAAGAGAAGGCATTAGTTACTAGTGTAGGCTTATTTCCTAAGCAGAATTACTAGAAATCTCAAGAGTTTTTCAACAATTCCATTTTTGTTCTGGAGTACCAGGGCCAGGAGGAAAACCAGGTATATTAGAATGAGTCACGTCAAAGGGACGCTTTATCTCCTATGTTCTTCACTTAGCTTGGTTGTTGATCACACAAATATGTATCTGCATGTACATAGATATAAAATAAATGATAAAACCTCAAACATTCAACCTACGTAAACCTCCCAAACCTTAAACATATACTACAACAGATACCCACTTAATACTGCCCAGGGCCACTTCTTCCACACATCTTTTCTCAGTGCTCAATGTTCTTCCTAGTCTGAAGTCAACTCTACTTCAGCAAAAGCTGCACAGTCTGAAATGTCATCACCAGGATCACATGCAGGAAGTTTGGGTAACCTGAGTTAATCAGGGATTGTAAACTTCAAATCATTAAAATCAAATCTCCTTCACTAAACAAAATAATTTTGCACAGACAAATCCTGGAGAAGGCATTAAACATATCCTTGCCCAATGCACAGATTTAGAAGTATAGTCATTAATATTTGCTTGATTGAGAGGAAGAAAAAACCAAAAAGGATGTTCCAAGAATAGTATTTGGGGGGCTATTCAAAGGCCAATGCTATCCTGGCCAGTCAGGTGTCCCCAGGATTCCTAGAGTCACTAAAAAGGGAATGTTCAGTTACGTGCCTACTTGGAATTGCTCAACAATGTAGAGGTTTATTTCTCCACACTAATGACAGGAAGACCCCAGGCAGAACTGCTTTTCTAATAAAACCAGCAGCATTCTGAATGCTCCCTCAGTCTCATTCTAGAGTGATGCTTTCAAACAGCTCAGCCCGAGGCTACTGTAACATCAGCCTCCCCTCTGCAACAGCACGATATGCAAATCAGAAAATGATTAAAATGGAAGGTAGAAACTATTGCACCGAGAAATTACAAGGTAAGAAGGTGCATCTGCAATGAAAAATGAGTGAGAATTTCTTTAAAGTTCCTTGCTATGAATGTGAAGCATCCTCGTAGTCTGTCACTTCTCCTGCAAGCTGTGCCAGAACAGGCCAGCAGCAGGATGCAGTGAGCACGCTTTGCTGCTTAGAGGCAAGACTACCCTACTAATGTCACTTAGAGCAGTCTGCCATGCAGGTACACTAAAATAATCCAGTCTCTCAAGATCTGTTAAATGTTATATATTGATTTCCTCTAATAAAAACCACAACAACATCTATTAAAAATGGTGCTTGTTTTTCAGACTGAAGGATAGAGCCAAACTAGGAAATAACTGAATCATGAGGCTTCTGCAACAGGGGAAGCCCAAAAGCTTTCAGTGCAAGACCCCAGTGTGACCACCGCTCTCTGGTGTCTTTCAACGTTTGTTTCATGCCCTGGTGCCTCCATGTGAGAGGCCTGGAGGCAGCACTGTAGCCTACACCCTCCAGCACGAGGTGCTCTGTGTCCAGCCCTCTCTGGACCAGCAGAACGTGTCCTGTGCTGCAATGAGCGTCTGGAGCTGCCCCACGGAACCAGCAATCTGAGCACAGCCTGGGATGTCTTGCCAGCACACGCCCACAGGGAAGATGAAACGTAACCTAAAGCCCTCCAGGCTTTGCATGGACTGGGCTTGATGCTCCCATCTTAACAGACAAGGTTTTAATGAATAGAGTCTCTAATAAATTACAGCATTACACCTGTCACATGCCCACACTGTGTACATGCATTGACAACATCAAACTAGTAACTATTTTTAAAATGTGTATTTGTATTCCAAACAGTACTTTTATATATATACCATTTTAAAATTGCTTTTGTTCTGAAATTTAAGCAGGCTGCTCACAAAAAACTCCCTCAAATACATTAGGTATGCACTTTCTAATTTTCAAGCTCTGATTACCATTCCCATAAAGAGAAAACTTACACCAATATTACAGATTGCTCTGTAGTTACTTCAGAATATCCTAGCTAATGCTCATCAAATTTTAAAGTAGCTCCTGTAATAATGTCTACATGAAAATAAACATGGAGGAAAAATAGAATAATACCTACATATAAGTTGCTCTTTCTTACTGTAGCAAGTAGACTGCATTTATCACTTTGGCTATAGAGTATAGATCTTCATATCTAAAGGATGGTTTAAACAATGCAAAACTGGAATATGCAGAAAGTGCCACAAATACACAAGCACTGTCTGAAGACCCTTGTCATGCCAGAGGTACGTGGCTCTCCAGAGCCCTGGGGACTTGCCTGGGGTCCTTCTGGATGCTGTCTATGGATGGAGAGCGGGTGGTGGGCTCGTCGGGGGGCTGCAGCCTGCCGTAGGGCTCTGCCAGGCGGTAGGGCCGGAACGGCTCCGCGTAGGCGGCTGCCGTGCCCAGAGCAAAGTTGTTCCTCTGGAAGGTGAGGGTGCTGCGCTGGCTGGCTGATCTCTGCAGATTGCCAACTCCTAGGATGAAATCAGTGTTAGCACAAACCAGCTCACAAACGTCTGTTGAAAAGAAGAGGAAAGAGGTGGTCAAATGCGTAAGCAAAAAAAAAAATGAAATCAGACTTAAAACCGCGTTCCGTGCTCCATGCTGAAAGCTGTTGCCAGGTTTAAGGGAGCAATTACTCAATGGCCCAGGGGAGACAGGGAGGTTAGCTACAGAACTAAAGGTCTGGTGGAATCAGGCTCATGTCTCAGCTTTCCTCAACAAGTATTTAAAGTAAGAAATGCACCTTGTCCCATGAAGCAGAAATCAGGATGCAAAATATTTTCAAAGTCTAGAATAAAATGCAAGTACTATCAGTAACTCAATTTCAATAGAAAGGAACACAAGCAAACAGAAGTTTATACAGTTGATGTGCTGTTTTCCTTTTCCCAACCACAACTACATTTTCCCTGACAAAAAGCTAAGAAGAGGATTATTTCAAGGATGAAGCAGTTTGTTTCAAAAACAGGAACATGTATCTTCCTGACTTAACAGAGCTGCTGTGGCAGCAGCAGTTGTTCTCCTAAGGTGAGGGATATGAGGTAGACACGTAGCCATGGAATTCCAATTTTAGTTGCATTTCCTTATTTTTACATCCTGACACACACAGTTTGTTTACTCTAGGCTGTAGAAGACAGGAGAATTGCAAAAACTGTTGCTCCTTCAACATTCCATACTCTTAATATTTCAGTTATATTAAAAAACATTCAATAGCAATTTTCAAATGTATGAAAATGACATATGAATTTGGACACTTCTCTATAAATATTTATAGAGAGTTTTGGAAATGTCTTCACTAAACAAATTATTAATCAACCTTAAAGAACAATCTGCACTGCAACATCTACTACAGTTCTCTTTACAGAAAATCAGTTCTAATACTAATCTAAAGCCTATGTACTTCATAATGCACAATAGCAATTCTATCACAGAATCACAGAAGTATTTCAATATATGATCTACAGATACAGTATTAACAGTTTTAACATTATCCTTTGCTGAGAAGTTGGGTAAAACAGTATTTTTACTGTGAAAGATGCAGTAATTCAAGTGTGTAAGCTCTCCCATGCAACAAGTAATTTAAGTATGTAAGTTATCATTTTACTATATTGATGAATAAAAAAAACTGGAACAAACTTCATTCGGAAGAAATTGACTGAAGGAGGAAGCAAAATATTTTGTGTTGAGAAATAGGCTTTGCTTGGATAAACCCAGGTGCGAGATACCAAACAAAACATTCTGACCCCGAGCTGACACTGATACACAGTCCCAAGCCTTTCTTGCAAACATCACACGAGCTTTTTAATCCCTGCTGGTTATTTTAAGTCCTTCAAACCCAGCTTCTATCTCCGTTAATTTATAACACCTAGTTGCTCATTTTCCACGGGCATTAGGGATTATCTCATACATGTTCTCCTGTAGGCCACAGGTTCCAGATGAACTCCAGCAAGTAGAAGAGGCATGACTTTGGGACACAGCAATGGAAGAGCTTTGGAGCCCCCTACCCACCTGACCCTGTTCGATACAAGGCTGACTGGGACCCCTGGTGAAGCTCCACTGTCCCATGGTTCGGGCTCCGGTAGATGGGGCTGTAGTAAGTTCTGCCTTCGTAGATGGGGGTGATGTGCAGGTCAGGAGATACAGCTGATCGTAGCTCTTGTCCCAGCTGGCTGTGCTGACTAGCATAGGAACTCCTCAGGCCTACAACCAAGAAAAGGGGAATATGTATGTCAAACCAGAGCAATGTACATGGCCCAAATCAGTTAAAGCAGTCAGGCTGTCATGATTGAACCTTTCTGCTTTCAGCCAAGAAAAGGAGTTAGTTTAACCTACAGTTATAAAGATTTATTCATTAAACTTCCTTCTGCTATTAAATGATCCATACAGAAAGATTCATCAACCAGGCAGCATTTCTTTGGTGAAAAGTTTTGTCCATACATTGACAACTTTTCAGTTTTCTAACTCAATCTTTTTGCCAGCGTTTATAGTTGTAAGTCTGACACGGGCAGAGCAAAAGCCAAGTAGAGAGCACGTGCAGGTCACAGTTGTGAACCTGACAGACACCCACTTGTGAAAGAGGGCACAACCTAAAGGGGGTCATAATCCTGAAAATGAAACATATAGCAGTAAAAGCAAAAGTCTTCCTGGTAGTGGCAGCGAAGATTTAAGCATGTGGAAACAAGTCTCTATAAAGGTTTAAATAGCCCACGATGTGTGTGTACATATATTGCTGTGCTGCAACTGTATGAGAGCCTCTTTTTTCCACCTTGCCTTTCAGCTGTCCCTCTTGAGTTCCTTTGAATTTATCCACCTCGTTTAACCTCAGTTCCTCAGCAGTGGGTCTCCTGCAGCACTCCTGCAGAGCCAGATCCAAGCACAGCTCTGGCAGAGCTGCTGAGCAGCTCGTCAGTAACAGCACTGTGAACATCACTGCACAACTCTGGGCTTCCTCCTCCCTGTGAAAGTTTCCCCTTTACCTGCTCCAAGGAAACTTCACTCACATTGCCTGGACGTTCTTACTGTGCATTCCAGTCTGTTACTGCATTTCTGCAACCAGCACCAATACATCTTTCCCCTTGCTATTTTACCAAATGAATCAACAACCAAACTCCTACTAAGTTCACTGTTGCTATCCTTATCAGGAGGTCAGTGGCACAGCCCTAATCCTGCATTTCTTCTTTTTCATCCCCACAACATTTTTTGACCTCTAGCATCACCCTCCTATTGACTACCTAACGTATGCTTTGCTTCCTAGTACTGGTGGTGTACTAACTAGCTGCACTCCACTAACCTTGTCTATTTTTAATGCTTTCATTAAAAGTGGAAAAATAGTTGGAATTCAGTTAATTCTCAGAGTTCTTCACCATTTCCTACTTGAGTTTTGTCAGTATCTGTGCTGCTCTTAGAACTGAGGGTACACAGAGAGCCTTTGCAGCTAGCAGGATGCATCACCCGAGGAAAAGCTCTTCTGCACTCATCAGTTTCTCCCCTACCCCTAACTCTTGGAAGATCCTTTAGGAAGCATTTCAGAACAGCTGTGTCTCAGTACTCCTCTCATCTCCACGCCTCTGTGTCACCTGTTTCCCTGTCACACACACTCCTAACATGACCTGCTTCTACACCTGTGGGTTTGCACCGAGGTCGAAGCTGTGTCTTTACCTTTTTACTAACCTGTAAGGCTGTCTGGGCGTGGAGGGACCATTCTCTCATAGATGTCATACTGCTGCCCATACTGCTCGATGTCATGGAGAGTTCTTTGCAGAGTTCCCAGGTGCTGCGGAACCGCAGTCATGCCAGAACGCTTCGGGGAGGAAGACCCCAGCTGCGTTTGGGATGGAGAAGC